GTTTTTTTTCTCAAAATGGAAAGTTTCGCAAAGGTAGCGCAGTCTATCAGGTATGTAATAATGATAGATTTAAACTGATATCTGCATATCAGGTGACCAAGGTGACCGATTACTCATAAATAATAATTTCTCCAGTTCTTGAATCTTTCACAGGCAGATTTCATTGACCATACTGATAGTCATAACACACATGATATTGCTTGTGTAAAACATTTTATAGCAAAGCTATTTGAGGTAACATGGACTTATTTATCCCATGTGCAAGTAAAATTATCAAGCGACCGGGCCTAAGAGGCCCGGTTTCCAGGAAATGGGACTAACTTTTGGAAAAGTTAATTTCTACATATGTTGTAAATTATTTCAAAACTAATTATTTATCCATTGATGGGGTATAAGTTGCTTGAGGATTACATGAAAGGAACAGGCTCAAAACCTCATGCGAACGAAGAGAGAGCAAAAGATACATGGGTCCGGGCCTGCGAGGCCCCTGAAAGGTGATTGAGGGTTAAACATCTCAGACAAGACGTGACATTGTCGACTTGACTACCTCAAATCTCACAGGGGGTCTTTATTTATTATCGTAACAGTATACATACAGAGGGCACTGTGATCAGTGGTGCGTTTGATGGCGGATTACGTAAGGTGATTCAGACAGACAACGGCATACATGCCTCAACTACGTAGATAGATATTTTATTTGAATTTATTTTAGAGATAGATATTTTATTTTGAATTAATAGCAGAAACACGAAATTAAAATAAATACTTTATCTTTACATAGATAGATATTCTGTTTTATAGATATATATTTTTTATTCTGATATGTTAGCAGAAACACACGAAATAAATATTTTCTCTTTCACAATATCAGCAAGTTAAGCAATCAAAATAGAGAAAAGAAGCATATTTACACATCATAAGTATATTTTCTTGCTGAAAAACGTGACTGTTCCGAAATCCAATTTAATAAAAATCTCTCCCACGCCAGCTATGAGCAGACAACCACACCGAACATGTACTACAGTTTGTACGCTCCCGAACACACATACAATTTTCATAAAGAACCCTTGTCAAGAGACCTTTTTGCACAAGGTCATGAGATGGCATATAAAATCTGACTGCTACAATTCGTTCATGAATGCTGTTTAGCGTCAATTAATGTACATGCTGTTATGTTACCTATGCTGAGCATGGGGTTAGATTTTGTAAGTGACATTTGCTACCCCTTCCACGCGCTCGGCTTTGTCACTTTGCACATATCTATCGGTATCTCTGTTGGCTATATCCACAGAGTACTCGTGTACGTAAAAGTTTCCATCTCTACGTAAGGTGTAACAATGCCTAAACGGGTTGTCTGATGTACCATTCCTTTACTGAGCACATTAGTTGGTACATTAGTTACCTGTATCCTTTATCCGGACCCAACAGGCTCCTTGGACCAAGTTCTACAAGACACAAGTTACTCAGCGTGGTTCCTCTGTCACATTACAGTCTTAGTAATCATTCGCGTAGTCAATTAGTAGTTATCAGGGAACGGTACATGTGACTATGCGTTAAGCTTTTTTAATCCAATAGTTGTAGCTTATTTGCTCTAACAGGGGGACATTTTAAAAAAGTTTCTAATTTCCCTTGCTTATAATTGCTTATTTTATGAAAGTGGATTCCTACATCTGTCCTCCATCACCGCCTGTGTGTATGTTAGATCTCTGTTATATTTTCATGGAGCTGCATTCTAGTTGTGTTTGGCTCTGTCTCCTTGTTTTTGTCATTGATAGTTTTGTCCAACTCAGTCATATCACCGACATTGGCGGCTTTCTTTTCAGCGTCTTCGATGCTCCGCAGAAATCGTGTTCCCGCTCGCGTTAAGCAGAAAAAGAAAACGGCGCCAAACGTGATTATCCCAGCAGACATGAGAACCAATTCGGTGCTTAAAGGCCGGACGATGGCGAACGCTGCAACTAAAGCAACGGTGTCCAGTACGTATATGAGGCCCGCAAGAACCAAGCGATGAAAATGGCTGCCGATGACAGAGCCAAGAGGAGCCCCAAAGATGACAACTGGAACACAAACAGCGACATACTGCCAGCACTCTCCGTCCACGTGGCCCATTATGACATGCCGCCAGAAGAGCCCAACCGAAGTGTTTCCCGCCATCAGCACGATGGAAGTGGGTGTTGCAATTTTCTCGCTGACGCGAAACAGAAGCGTAAGAACAGAAAAACTGCATATATCTAACCCACTACCGGCAAATGACGTAAATATACCACCGAAGAAACCAGTGAGAACCAGAACTATTCCCTTCCACCAGTTGAAGTTTGGTATTTT